TTAAGAAATAGATTCATTTTCTACGGAACGAAAATTACAGAGTCACTCAGTAAAATCGGGGAACCATATCGTAAATCGTTCATTTGCAAAATATCAGTTCATCATCATATCGAACTGGACTGTTCCTGTTGCAAAAAAACATCAATCCATTGTCACTATTCATGCGTTTCATACAAATTCCATTGTGTTCTAACTCTTCCTTTCTTGATCTTCCCCCATCTTCTGCTGCTGCCAGACATTACGTTGATACTCACGTCCTATACTACTTATAAGTAGCTCGCACCATATATATATATATATATATTCGTACGCACAAACATCAGTTCACGTTACCATACCACTTTAGCACAGAGATGTAATTGTCAATTCAAATCCCATAGTAGTAGAGATAGTAGACGTTTTAGCGGTGATGGAGAAGATTAGGGTTCGAAGATTTTATTCAAGAAGTAGAATCTAGTGAAATAAACTTAAAGAGAGAAAGATGAAGGTGACGAGGAATTCAGAAGATTAGAATTAGAGAGAACATAAAGAATGAATGCACCTGAGCCATTGCAAACAATTTTGAGCCATATTATTCAACGTCTCTAACCATAGGTTACTATCATCTCGTGGATCTCAACCAGGTAGTCTGCAACTACCAACATGATTCAGTCCACTTGTCGCTTTTCTCTTTGGCCGCCCTTAGATTTCTTCCAGCCTTCTGATAGTATCTAGTCCATGGATCTGGAGTATCGTGGTACTTAGATAACTGTTAATAAACACCTTTATCTTTTGAGAACATATCTCGTCGAGTCAGTTGGCGGTTAGGCATATGTAACACATGTCCCAACCACCTCAGCTGATGAAGTTTCAATACTTCATCTACTGATTTTCCACCCCTACCTAGAACTCGTTTCCTAACGACACCATTGCTTACTCGATTGTTCCAGGACATATGAGTAATGCTTCGAAGACACTTATGATCAAATACTAGTAACCTATGAATATCCTCAACTCTTACCGGCCATGTTTCGCATCCAAATAGTAGGACAGAGCGGACTGCTGCACAGTAGACTCGTCCTTTGGTTAGCAGACGTTTATCTCACCTGCGCCATAGGTGACACAAGTTGTCAAAAGCCAATCGAATCTTCTGTATCCGTACTGAGATTTCATCAGTTAAGGTTACTACTAAATTTCATTACAAGCAATGATGAATAGTTGCTTGTAATGGAGAATACAGGATGTACCTGTCACATCTCAAAGTTGATATTCACTCTGAGGGACTCGAACCCAGTGCCGTTCGCTTCAAACATCATTACATTATCTATTCACTTTACGACTGAGTCTAAATAGTCACTGACTTGTTCAATAGGTGTGTTGTTGAGGGGGAGGGGGGTCAAAGTTCATTGATAATTCAGACTATAATTGATCAATGAAATAATGAGTCAGTCAATCATTGTTAGGTCAATAGTCGAAACCTGGAAGCACTTGACAGCCGTTTCATCTTATCATGGGAGGCAATAACTGCTAAAGACAATGGGTAAGGTTGAGTACACACACTACGAAAAGCGCCTAACTGCATCACGAGACAAGCCCTTACATGGAACCCTCAAGGCAAAAGGAAAAGAGGAAGGCCAAGGAACACATTACGCCGAGAAATAGAGAAAGATATGAGAGGAATGAACAAACATTGGACAGAACTGGAGAGGGAAGCCCAGAACAGAGTTGGTTGGAGGAAACTGGTGGGCAGCCTATGCTCGATTGGGGGTAACAGGCGTAAGTAAGTGAGTAAGTAAGTAACTGCTGAAGACAATAGGTAAGGTTGAGTAATACCTTAGACTGACCGAAGTTAGAGATAGTAGTAACATTGTTGGATGCCAGCTCAATACGCCATAGTAACGGATTTCATTCAGTTTAATAATAACATGATTACCATAGCGATTTTCAATGTCATATTTGAATATTTAGAGATAGACAGGTAGATAGATAGACAGGCAGATAGGACGTTTGTCCATGTTCTATCTTTCCATATTCATGAATTAAACACACGCACACACACACAATACCACACGTCTCCTCAGACCTACCATGCAGATATTATGTCACACTCTACGCACACACACACAAATGTACGACAGAGACACAGACAAGTAACCAAATGTACTTCTGAATTAAGAGACAGACTGAGGCTGGGTAATCAATTACTAAACAATAGATGGAAATGTAGGCGCACTGAAAGAATATAGAGAATAAGGAGATTTTCAATAGAATAAAATACAGTACAATGTTATCAATAATAATTGTAATAATGGCGATCGATATTACATGGGCTATAATATTTTGTAGTAAAATCCATCATTCAAAAGATACAAGTGTTTATTAACAGTTGTCCAATCAGCACGATACTCCAGATCGATTGACCGGATACTGGAAGAAAGCTATGGGCGGCCGAACCAAAATATGGCACAAATCTATGAAGTCATTGACAAGTGGACTGAGTCATGTTGGTAAGTGAAGACTACCTAGTTGAGGTTCGCGTGACAATGGTAACCGGTGTTTAGAGACGTTAAATGACATAGCTCAAAATCGTTTGCAATGACTCAGGTGCATCCGCTCTTTAAGTTCTCTCTAATTCTAATCTTCTGAGTTCCTCATCATTTCTACCACTATGGGATTTGAAGTGACAACTGGATCTCTGTGCTAATGTGATATGGCAACCTGAACTGATGTATGTACGTACGAAGTTTTACGTCGTAACAAAAAAGTAATCTGTAACACTCTTCTGTAACAGAGAACAAACCAGCAGATTTTGGCTGAGGAAAAAATTTAAGAAAAGACTCTGGATGTGAATAGGAAATACATAGTGGAAGTCACAAGTCAGGCCTTAAGTTGGAATACTCAAGAAAATTGGAAAATAGGCAGTTCAAAGAGTACACTACACTGGGAATCGATGTGAGACATGAGAAGCATGAATATCATTTGGGTAGAAAGAGTGGGGTACAGAAACGTTTGGATGATCGTGGTTGTTGGCTTATGACCCATCAGGTGTAACAGGCGTAGGTAAGTAAGTGAGTAAGTAAGTAAGTAAGTAAGTAAGTAAGTAAGTAAGTAAGTGCATAAGTAAGTAAGTAAGTAAGTGCATAAGTAAGTAAGTAAGTATGATTTCTCACACAAAGGATAAGCTGAATTCGTTCTCCGTGACAGAAACTTGTTGCTGATGATATCGTCTGAGCAATGGGTCGTGATTATCTTGCGTGGATATCTATTTATAAGTAACCTGTTTACTAATCATACTAACCGAGTAGGAGAACATTTTCACATCTTTCAGAGCTTCTCCGTCAGGTTTGCTTTGATTGGTGTTCTCTGTGCTCTGTTTAAAAATCTCGCTACTTCCCTTATGAATATTGAGGCCTTCTGCTAGGCCTCTGATGCTGTTATCTGGTTGTAATCTCTTTTATTTGTTGTTGTGTACGGGACAGTACAGGCAGATGACCTGTAAAGTCCGAATACTCAAACTACATACAAGTTGTCTACTATATTCCATGCTACCCCTGAGATATAGAGGTCACATTAATTAATTCAATATCCAGAAGAAAGAGAAAGCAGTCTTTACTGATGTACAATGATGAGTTCCATTCAACTGATTATTCCACAATGATCCGTAATGTAGCAATTTGGTTAGTACACGATCGATCCTTACGAAATCCGGCCTGTTGATCTCGAAGTTGGGCGTCTACGAAGTCCTTCATTCTGTTTAACAATACCCTGTTGAAGACTTTGCCTGGTATTGAAAGAAGAGAGATGCCTCTGTAGTTTTCACACTTGCTGAGATCGCCTTTCTTTGGTATTTTGATGAGGTATCCTTCTTTCCAATCTGATGGTACTTGTTCCTCATCCCAAATCTTCTTGAAGAGGATGTGAAATATTTTTGCAGCTTGCTTCTACATCTGCTTTCAATTGCCTCTGCTGGAATGTTGTCTGGTCCTGTTGATTTGCCGCTCTTGATTTGTCTGATTGTTATGCTGATCTCTTCAATTGTTGGTGGAACAACATTAGTTAGGAGGTCCGGAGGTGCTGCTTCTATGTTGGATGGTCTCAAAAGGTTCTCCAAAGCGCACTACCCATCTGTTCCTCTGCATTCAAATTTCAATGATTTGTCTTCTTTGTGTTCAAGACTGATTGCTCTCTGGCGTACAGTCAAACAATTACATCATATTAATACAGTCTACACCTTCGGGTTCCATGTTCTTATGTTCATTGAAGAAGTGTTTTCACTTAGAAATTTGTTTTGATCAGTCATTGACATGAATGCGTAGCAATATTGTTTAGGTGTTTCATCTTAGTTTTGAACATTTTTATCATTTCACATTAACTGAATGAGAGGACTAATCACCTTATGTTATACTGTTATGTAAACAACTTCTCAAATGAAAGCGTTTGTTTGTGTAATCAGATTATCGATCAATGTTGGACCACCATTAGAAACCTGGAAGCAATCGACGGTCGTCTTGTCCTGGTATGGGATTCATCAGAGGTTAGGTGTTCGCACTCTAGCCAGAAGGTCCTGGGTACGAATCCTGTAGGGTGCATGAGTCGTGGATGCTCACTGCCACTGATGATTCCCATACCAGGACGAAACGGTCGTGTTTCAGTGCCTCCAGGTTCCTCCTAATGGTGGTCTAACATTGATCGATTCATGATTTCAAATGTGTAACTTAACAATCTTCACAACACCGTAATGGAATATTATTTTGCCCAGTTTAATGTCGTAGCGATAGTTTCGTATATTTATTTTAAATTATAAAAGGACATTCAGTTGTACCCAGTTGATTAACTCAATAATACCGAAAAAAGTAAATTTCAAGTTGAACAGTTTCAAAAAATTCCAAAATTTAAGATTTAAGATTTTAACTACTTTTTTCTATATTCAGTAGCTAATAATTCTTTTACGCATATATGTGACCAAAAAAACACATTACATTAGATTAGTCTGTCTAAACAATGTGAATTCACATTTTAACCTAATTATTGGACAAATCAATTCGATTAGTGCCTTGATCCGTCTAATAATTTTTATTTATAATAACAATTTATAGATGCCTCAATTTTTTTTCTCTTTTGACTGAAATCAAGCAAATAAAAGGTACTAACTACATTAGATGCGGTTGTAATAAATAGAAAAATGAATTGTCTGAGAAATATATTTACCTGTGCGTACAAAAAAAAACATTGATAATACAAAATTGTGCTTGTAATTATTGAACGTTGAATGAAGACAAGCACCCAAGTGCG